GAGAGAGAGAGAGAGAGTATTCTACAGGTGTATCTGCGTAAGACATGTGATACTGTTTAGTATTCCGAAATGAAATTTGGGCTTTCTGATAAGTATGATTCAAGTTTTGAGTTTTCAAGCCATGATTTAATTTGTACTTTTCACATAAGGACAACATAAAATACTTACTCATTCAGGATAAAAATGTCCTATTTTCAGACAATATTGTAGATAATGGAAATACAGAGAAACTTTTCACATGGATAACAAAAACAAGCAGAAACACTACAAAAAATAAAGCCTGCTTGCAAGACATAATTAGGTACGGTCAATCTCACTAGCTCAAGAATTTGTTAGTTTAAATTCATCAGTTACAAAAGGAATTTGAATAGCTAGGAATTGAACAAAGCCGAATTTTTAGAGGAAAAGCATTCTGCAACCAATAGACTATTGAACCATAGCCCACTCAGGCCATCATCCAATGAACCGCTGGATGGTGATGGAGAGTTGGAGGGATCCACTAGAAAAGGCCATCCAGTGGTGGGCCTCAGTTTTTCTCCATTACTGCTCAAATCTAATTGACGATGATGACACCAGTGGATTATGGCTTTCTGTAGCCATTGGATCATAGTATATCTTCCTTGCGTGGAAGCTCCATCCCAAGAAATGCCACAAGACAAACATGCAATAATTTCCACCAATAGAGAGTCAGATAATCAACATACCACACTTTCAGGAACTCCAGGAGGGGGCAAGGACAGATTTCGCGGTGGTGGACCACGAAGATATGATCTTTTGTCAAATCGCCACTCACCTATCACCCCATATGTGAGCTCACCCTAAACAGATACAAACTCCTAATGTGAGAATTCAATATTATATAATTTAAAGAATTGAAGATTTGTAAATTCCTTAAATTTTTCTTTCCTTGATAAGCATGCACAAGTTTGTACTTGGTCCAGTGCACAATTCCAGTTGCTCATACCGCTGAGCAAGGTCTCTTTTTATTAATTGATGAGAACATTTTTTATACAAGGAAGCAACTCAATTTATAATTTTATACACTATAGAGATGACAAAAAGCATCACCTTAAGATTATAATCGCATCCGTAAGTGTAGTGAATAATAAATGACTTCTCACTTGATAAATCCCAGGGAGGCTGAAAAAGGTCCCAGGCAAAACTTTGTTAAGTTCGATACCTTTAACCAACTTCATTAACTTCGTATAATCAACTTTAGTAACTACAAAGGAATTCTATACCGCAATTCAGAGTATTATGGAAAACCATACTCCAGTGAAGTCATCACCATCCTATGAGATGATGGATGCTGACTTCTTTTTTTTTTTCTTTGGGTTAGGAGAGAGACCTGAACAAGACATGACCCGAATGGTGAGTCCCACCCTCCCTCCATCACTATCCTCATAGGATAGAGAAGACTACAAATAGACCATTATTTCCCGCAGTTCTTGGACCACACCATACTTTCCCAAACTACACATGTTTCAACTACTAATTACCTGAATCATAAAATCTTTGCGAAGAATATGCTTCACACCATGCAATGCAGATGCTACAGCATATGCATACCTAATTTCAAAACAAAAACATAACATGACAACATTAGAAGTGAATGTGTAGATGGCAAAGAAAAACAAATCTAGTATCCAGACTCCAATGCAGGAAGGAAATTGATCTCACTGACATTTCTAGCACCCAACCAAAAGCTGTATCAGCCTTGGGATCATCCTTCATTCCCAAAGACACATTCATCCAAGTAGGAGCAATTTTCTCCAATTGAGACTGGAATCAGAAACTTAATTAGCACACCTAAATCTAGGAATCCATCACTAAAGCATCTATAAATATCTAAAATAAATAAAGGTATCATGCAAAAAGCAAGGAAGTTGAAAATAATAAGCCCCACACCAGCAAGGAAAGGAAACTCTTACCTTCAGAATAATCACTGGAGAATTACCAATTGGATCAACATTTGTTATTGCGCCTTTCTCTTCTGGGTAGAACTTCCTAATTATTTTCTCATTCTCAGCTGGCTTAATGTAAAAGAACGAGAAAGCTGCTGGGTACTCTCCTTTCGCTAAGTTTGGCAGTGGTTTTGTGAAAATATGGTCAGGTTCTGCCATCATTATATAGCTGCATTGTCCATGAGAACAAACTCTAGTACAATATCAACAGTAAACTCTTGTAACTTGAGAGCACATAATTGAATAAAATCAAAAGCAATGACAACCATTAACTATATAAACTTACTCCTCCTTGATTTGAGCTTTTTGAAGCCATTGCACGAACGCCCATGGTCTGTTCAAGACAATGTAGCCCTGCAACACACAATTAAACAACACGAACCTTGACTACTTTAGATGAAAACCATGAACAAAGGCTCTCTTCCAATAACACTTTTAGGATTAACATAAATAGTTCAGGCAACAGGTTACAAAGCAACCGAACTCATGTAGCGAACATATATTTCCCTCCCAAGCAAGCTCTTGAAACATGCATGAAAGTGCTCACATAACTCAGTCAAATTTTTACTAGTGGAAGCATATCACCTTTTTGTCAAAGCAATAAAATGGTACATTTGAACCCCACGTATAATAAAAACCATCGAAAGGGAAATATCAAAAGTAAAGAAAGAAAATGCCAAGTCAAGATTGGAACACAAGAATTGAAGTCATATAGAAAGGAAAAGTTCTGATTACATGAAGAAACACCAAACAATTTCTCTTTACATTCATAAATAAAAGCCCATCACAAACCGAAGATATGATAGAAGAATATGGATAAGATCCCATACATGGAACGCCTAATAAAGATCGCAAGCCAAAGCACAATGCATCATAAGAAACACAGCAAAATGCATCTTGACGAAATATCTTACTCGATCAAGGCCAGAGGGGAGAGGATCAACGACAAAAGTGGGAATCTCATTCATTAAATTGTCAGGTCTCCCTGAATGAAGGACCCTGGTGAATCCACCCATCTCAGACCCAGGCAGATCCTTCACCTTCTTATACCAATAATACATTATTCGACACTGCCATTTGCTATATGGGGCATCAGTAGCTGTAAGGGCAACATGGAAGGGCATTTTCCTCTTTTCTTTCTTCAGTTCCTCAGGCATCGTGATCACTGGATCGAAGAGTTCTGATGGCTCACTTTTGCCTGAAGTTTGAGATCTGAGGTGGAGTATCAGGGTCAACATATTATAGGTAGCAAAGAAAAACCCTAATGCCACCAAAATGAGAAGAACTAGAGAAACTCGAGCCATGTTCTTTCCTAACATCTGGTTTCTCGACCTGATAAGCTTCTAGATAGTTGTCTTGGTAATTCTTCGTAAAGTACAAGATGTGATGCTTGTCTTGTGTCTGTACAAGGGGTCGAGATTATCTCAAGAGTTTCTAGTTAAAGCAATCCCTATGGTATAAATTTTCTTAGAATAGAACATCTGATGCTTGTGTTATACCCATAAAAATGGAAGTATTTATCTCAGGCCTAAAAATAACTGAACCAAGACTTCGAACGGCAAATGGCAACTATGAGACATGATTCGTCATCGATTTCTCAACAAAAATAGAGCATGACAAGTAAATTTCACCTGCATTACAATTGAATGAACACAAATTATACTTTGAAATACAACAGAAAAAGTTCAATGGGCACCAAAGAACAAAAACAGATAAGCCAAAGCAAGAGTCTGATGAACCAGGCCTATAAGTTAAAACAACAGGTGTCGTTTTTTTTTTGTTGTTGACGTACAATTCATTGATATTGAAGGCATATAAGACACAAAAGGGGGACTTCATATCAATCCTTATTTCTGAGAAATGTTAAGGTGTAACAAGGATCAAAAAGTATATTTTGATAACAGCTCTAGAAATTAAACAGCTGAGAATCCAGAAAATACATTCTGGACAAATTAACAAAGAAAATGGAAAAAGACATAACTCTGAATCTGAAACAAATCCCAATTAGGTCCCAATTAATATTGAAAAAATTCACAATTATAGAGAAATAAAGAGAGAGAAATTATGGACCATCAAACTAGAAACATTACATGCAACATTAAAAACCCATTCATAAAAATGCAAAATTGATATGGAATACCCGAAAAATTCATATTAATTCGACTCGAACAAATCACAAAATCAGAGCACAAATGACCAGAGTATAAATGGGCAGAAATGGTTGATTGGAACCAACTGAAACCATACAAAACACAGGTTGAATTCCCAATTCAAACCAAAAATTAAATAAAAGAGTGCCCAAACTCTGCCAGAGCAGATCAGACTCATAAAGATTATAAAAATAAGTAGAGAGAGAGAGAGAGAAAGAGAGAGAGAGGAAGCGAGAGAGAAGAGCTGACCTGCACCTCTAGAAAAAAGACTCCGAAGAAATGAATTACCAATACGAGAGACAGAGAAAAAGACAAGAGAGAGAGAGAGAGAGAGAGAGAGAGGAGTA